CCGGTTCGGGCCGCCCGGCCCGGGACCGGCCCGGCCTGCCACTGTGCGGGCCCGGAACCGGCCCGGTTCTCGGGTCCGGGACCGGTTCGGGCACAGACCCGGTCGGGTAAGCGGGACCGGGCTCGGGTCCTGATTTTGGAGGCCCGGCCCGGCCGGGTCGGGCCCGGGCCCGGGCCTAACTGTCCAAATTTAAAATTTTTTTTTTTTTTTTTTTTTTTGCTTCTTTTGGTGGCTCAACAGTCACCCAAACGGCTATATAGCCGTTGGGTGGTACCAGGGGGGGGGGGGTCAGGGGGCTTTGGGTGGGGGTTGGGGTTAAAAAAAAAACCTATAAATACTCCTAATTTTAAACATTTTTTCACACCTCTTCTCCAACTCTACCTAAATCCTACTCTGTACTCATCTCCAATTCTCCATATTCATCTTCTCAAATTCTCTTATTCTCCTTTATATTTTATTTTACTATTTAATACTTATACAATTATTATATCTACTTATATATATTAATTATCTACTTATATATTATTATCTACATATACTATATTACTTATATTTCTTATCTACTTAATCTCTACTTATATCTCTTAATACATACATACATACATACTATATCTACTTAATATATACTTTATATAATAAAGTATTAAATATACTTTATAAACTATTACTATATACTTAATACATAATAATATCTACTTCTCTACTTATATTTTATATATACTTATTTTCCAATCTCCAATTCTCCATTATACTCTAATATTTAATTCTTATACAATTATTATATCCACTTAATACATACATTCTACATCTAGCTACTTAATATATATTTTATATATTAAAGTATAAAATATAAGTGTATTACTCATCTTATATTAGTTTACTTATATATTATATAATATAAACATTATATTATATATTACTTACTATAACTAGTATTATACTAGTTAATTAGTTAATTAGCATTCTTGTTACATTTTTCATTATACTAGTTAATTAGTTCATTACCATTATTGTAACATTTTTCATTATACTAGTTAATTAGTTAATTAGCATTCTTGTTACATTTTTCATTATACTAATTAAAATACTTCACATTTTATTTAACTAGTTGTTAGTTTGTTACATTTGTCACTATACTAGTTAACTACTTAATTAGCATTGTTGTTACATTTTTTATTGTACTAGTTATTTACTTCAAAAGTTGCTATAATTTTAATTGTAGAGACACACATTAATTCTACTTTGCACAAAATTAGTTTGAAGTATTAATTAAAATAGTTTTAATTAGTTGCATTAGTTTTGTATCCATTATTATATTTGTTGTGAATTAATATTTGTTACATTTTTTAGATGGAAGGTGGTAGATATTCGGTTGATTTGGGTAACCTCCAACGCAATCGAAGAAACGAGATTGGTAGGAAGAAATCCCGCAAAGGTAAAGAACTTGCCGGGTCTTCATCTCAAAGCCGAGATGATTTTGAAACGGGTTACCAAAGGCGAGATGGAGATGCGATGTCCGAAGAACAACTCCAACAAGAATTGGCCCGACATAATAACCGCTTTCTACAACAACAACAAATGCCGACGACCATTGACGAAGAGGAGCTTGAGGATGAAGATGCGGAGGAATTGGAACCGGAGACGGCCGAGGAGGAGGGTGCTGGCAGCCACGACGCCGACGCGCCTGCCTCATCCCAAACCGCCACCGGTAATAAAAAAAGTAAGTCTGAACTAATGAAAAATAATTTTGATAAATGGAAGGACCCACAAACCGGCTATTGGCACGCAACTTGCAAGTGGTGCAACAACAATTATAGTTTGGGAACCTCCGGCGGATACGGATCCGCCGCAAGGCATCTTAAGGCAAAGCACCCCGTGGAGTATGCAAAATTAGGCGGCGGAACGGGGAAGCAAACTCAAATATCGAGGTTTGCGAATTCTCAACCTTTTGGTAATTTCTCCTACAATGATGCACAAAATTTGACTGGTATGGCTAACTTAATTTGTGAAGAAAATTTGCCTTATTTGTTTTCTGAAAGTCTTGCTTTAAGAGATTATGCACAAGGTAGTTTAAATCCTCAATTTAGAAATTATAGTCGCAAAACTGTTAAGAAAGAAATAATAAGGCTTTATAATGCGGAAAAGGTAAGGTTACAAAATTTTTTTGCAAACTTTGATGGGCGTGTTGCTATTTGTTCTGACATATGGGAGGATGATTTTCATCATTTATATTATTTGGGTCTGACTGCACATTATATTGATGAGGATTGGAATATGCATAAACGTGTTCTTGCTTTTCGTGAATTTAATGATCGTCACACCGCTGAACATATTTATATTTTGATTGAGCGTATTTTAATTGAGTATAATTTGATTGATAAGGTGTTTGCTATTGGTTTCGATAATGCTACTAATAATACTGCTGCTATACCTAGATTGCGTGAGTTGTGTGGTGCCAATTCTTTGATGGGTAGATTTTTTCATCAACGCTGTGCATGTCATGTTATAAATTTATGTGTGCAAGACGGTTTAAAAGCGTTAGGAGATTCCATGGAGGTAATAAAGGGGGGGATTAGACGTATTTGGGGTAATGGTCAACTTAGATTAAAATGGCAAAGTTATTTGACTGAAAGAGGTGTGAGATATGTTGCTTTTCCTAAAGATTTGAGTATTCGTTGGAATAGTACTTATAAATTACTTAAAGTTGTTCTTAGATATAAAGAACATTTTCCTGCTTTTTTAAAAGAACATGATAATTATATTATAAACGCGGCTGAGATCGACACTTGCGAAAAAATTTGTAATGTTTTGATATATTTTTTTAATGCTACTGAAACTTTTAGTCATGTTTATAAACCTACCGCAAACCAATTTATTCCACAAGCTGTTAATCTCGCCGATGCTTTTAAAGAATTTCAAAATGCCGTTTTCGTTCATTATTTTTGTGATCATATGAAGGAAAAGTTTTTAAAATATTATGCGCATATTCCCCATATTTATGGTATTGCATTTATTCTCGATCCTCGTTATAGACTTGCTAATTTGGAAGATTGTTTCAACTTCTATTATCTTGCGTTTTTCGGTGAATTTTCAATGTATGACGATAACCCCATAGATCCGAAAACGGAATACAACGAGGTTAGTACTTTATTTTATGCCTTATTTAATGAATTTCGTGCACAATATAGCAACGCTCCCCCTCCCCCGTCACGAACATCTTCATCTAAAGGAAAATCGATTTTTAAATCTGCATTTGGCAATCTTATGAAAAAAACTAAAACAACTCATGTCACTGAACAAAGCGCATTGAATGAGATTACTTTGTATTTAACATATGAAGTTGATTTTGAAGAAAATGATGACTTTGACGTTCTAGACTGGTGGAAGTCAAAAGAAAGAACGTTCCCGATTTTAGCACGGATGGCTAAGCAAGTACTATCAATGCCGGTTTCAACAGTTGCTGTGGAACAAGAATTTAGTTCGGCCGGCAACGTCCTAACGGCATCTAGATCGAGATTGAGCGCGGAGTCTCTTGAGACGCTTATATGCTACCACGATTGGTTGAACGCCGCACGTAGAACTCAAGAATTGAGCATCACCCCCTCCCAAGATTTTATGGATGACTCAACAACCGATGGTGGCTCTACCTATGCCGGAGATTCCGATTGATTAGTATTTTAGAATTTATTACAAAATGTATTATATAGCACTTGTCAAATTTATTTATACTTGTACTTCATATTTCAAAATTGTAAACTTGTACTTCATATTTCAAAATTTTAAATTTGTAGTTGTAGTTCAAATTAATTTGTAAACTTGTACTTCATATTTCAAATAAATATGTGTTCACTTTTTCATATGTAGCACTTCTCAAATTAATTAATTGGTTACAATCTAATGACTTAAAATTATTTTTCTAAAATATAAAGCCGGTTTTTAAATTAAAAATACATTTAGAATATGTAATTTGTTTAAATACTTATACACCTATTTTGTAACATTTGTAAATTATAAATCAAACCACTTTTCTAAGTACAAATAGTTTTAGTTTTACTTAATTCATTAAATTAATTAATTTATTTTACAATATGTGTATAACTTAAAAAAAAAAAAATTCAAACCTCCCAAACGGCTATATAGCCGTTGGGGCTATGGGTGGGGGGCAGGGGGTCCCGGGGGTGGTGGTGTGGGGAGTGGGGTTCAAAAACATCTATAAATACATCTATTTTCTAACATTTTTTTACATCTCTTCTCCAATTCATCTCAAACTCTTCTCCATCTTCATCTTCTCTTATTATCCTACATTCCTACTTATACAGTTATACATATACCATTTTAAATATGGAAAGTACATCTTCCCTTATGCAAAACAATTTTGACAAGTGGAAGGACCCGAAGACCGGTCTGTGGTGGGCAACTTGCAGGTGGTGCAAGAAAGAGTGTTGCTTGGGGGGTTCATACGGATACGGGATGCCAATAAAACATATGAAGTCTTGTGACAAAGGGAAAACAACAACCAACGGTGGCGGAAATCCCAATTGATATTCATTACAAAATGTATTTCGTATTGTTGTTTTTTTCTCAATTCTCAAATGTAGTTCTTATTTCAAATAAATGCACTTGAACTTTGTTTTTAATAGCAATTTGTATAATATATAATTAATAAAAAAAATATATATATATATATATATAATGGCCCGGCCCGGCCCGGCGGGTGGCCCGACCCGTGACCCGGGCGGGTGGCCTGGCCCGAACCGGAACCAGTCTTTGACCGGGCCGGTCCCGGGCCTACCATTATAGGACCCGAGGCCCGACCGGGCCTTGACCCGGCCCGGGCCCGACCCGGGTCCAACACTACCCCAGGCCCCCCAAATCCCCCTTCCCCTATTGCCCCCTAGGGTATAAAAAAAATCCACCAATCTCTCGAACTAGTCGAAATTAAAAAAGGTGGAGAGAGTGAACAAGCAAGCAAGCCATCTATCAAATCCAAAGCAGTAGAACTGATTTTCTCATAACAAATAAATACATAATTTTGCCGTACCATGAAAAGGCATAACAGAAGTCAGATGTCATGTAGAAGCTGAATTGAAAGACATGAATATCAAGATCTAGATAAACCAGGAGTTCAATGAACTGCTAGTATTAAACAAAAGATTAAAAGCATATGACAAACATGAAGATACAGTTGATATTATTATTGTTTACAGGGAGTGGGAAGGTACTATGCTTTCAATAATCTTCTCCTTCATCTTCTTCGTCTACTCCTTCAGCTCCAACCTCCTCATAATCTTTTTCAAGAGCCGCAAGATCCTCACGAGCTTCAGAGAATTCTCCTTCCTCCATACCCTCACCAACGTACCAGTGGACAAACGCACGTTTGGAATACATGAGGTCAAACTTGTGGTCAATTCGGGAGAAGACCTCAGCCACAGCGGTATTGTTGCTTATCATGCAGACTGCACGCTGAACACGAGCAAGATCACCTCCGGGCACCACAGTCGGGGGCTGATAGTTGATTCCACACTTGAAACCCGTAGGGCACCTGAAAGTCGACGTTTAATTCAAAATATATTCTACGAGCACTGCATATTAGAAACAATTATTTTCCTATATAGGGAAGTTTCCCAAGCTAACCCCTTAGAGCATGTCCAATGCAGGTGGCTTCATGGAGGTTTAAAGGAGATAGAGACAAATTGATGAACCAGTGGTGTCTATTTGTGAACCTTAACTTAAACAGGATTCAAAATGGGACAGGTGGAGCATAGTGGGCTAGAAATGATTTAGAAAAATTAATATTAAATAAAATCAGGAACATGGGTCATATGTACAAGAATTGTGAGATAAATGTTGGGGCCTATGGGTAAGAAACAAAGTGAGAAACCTTTGGCACTGGAAAAGATGCTCTTAGGTTTTTGGTAATTCTCAAAAGGATAACTAACCCCAGGTATGTTAAATAGCCTTGAGGTAGGAAAGTCTTTGGCTAGTTTGAGAAATACCAAAAATCTCAGAGTTACCTACCAAAACTTCCTTTATACCTGATTAAATCCCTTAACAATACATCATTACTCAATATGAAGTTCAACTTCTAATTGGACTCGATTTGAATCAATACCATTCACATGCATATTGCTTGGTTCTCAAGAATGGCAGTTCGTTTGTTAACCAAAATTTATACCTACTTTTGGACTCAACTTGACTCCCAATAATTTAACTTGGACCTAATGTAGTGGATATGAAAATACCTTTCTTAAAAGAAGCAAAATATGCATGCAGACTAAAGTGAGTATAAATTACATAATTGAGGACCAACTGAGTACAAAAGAACGTTGATAACCAATTGAATGACAGTTGAAGTCAGCCGGCAGATTTTACTTAGTACTACCTCCGTCCCATTTTATGTGTCTTAGTTTGACTTGGCACGGTTATTAGTGAAATGGTTGAAAAAGTAAAAGTTGTGGTTGAGGTTTGAGTATAATAAAGTAAAATGACGTAGGCCACATATTTCATTCCATAAAGGGAAAGTGGACACTTATTTTGGGACAACTCAAAAAGGAAAGTAGGACAGGTAAAATGGGACGGAGGGAGTATTTAATTAGCTTACCAATCAACAAACTGAACAGTCCTTTTTGTTTTGATGGTAGATACAGCTGCATTGACATCCTTAGGAACAACATCTCCGCGATACATCAGACAACATGCCATGTATTTACCGTGTCTTGGGTCACACTTAGCCATCATGCTTGACGGCTCAAAAACAGCATTTGTGATCTCAGGAACAGACAGCTGCTCATGATAGGCTTTGGCAGAGGAGATAACAGGTGCATATGAAGAAAGCATGAAATGAATCCGAGGATAAGGTACGAGGTTGGTCTGGAATTCAGTGATGTCCACATTTATGGCTCCATCAAACCTTAAAGAAGTCGTCAATGATGAGATGACTTGTGAAATCAAACGGTTGAGGTTTGTGTAGTTGGGCCTTTCAATGTCTAAGGACTTCCTGCAGATGTCATATATTGCTTCATTGTCCAACAAAATGACAACGTCCGTGTGTTCAAGGAGGGCATGAGTAGACAAAACACTATTGTATGGTTCTACCACTGCAGTTGATACCTGCACATTTATATCCATAATATAATTCATCATTCATCATATAATGCAAATAGATAGCATGAATAGTTTAATACCCTCAAAACACACCTAAATGAAACACCTCTATTACATAACAATCTGAACTCTGAGATTTATATTTCACCACAGAGAGGTGAGTTGTATCCAAGTCAGACTTGCAGGAAAAATATCACTCAATCATATTTGAATATGGAAACCACACAGACCTATACTCTCCCCGTTCAAAAATAAGAGTTGCGTTTCAAGCATTTTATGTGAGAAAAAAGATAGTCCAATTTAATCATATGTAGCTAAATTTTCACCTAAGACGCCAAAGCGTCACAAATAAGTTATATTTGATAACTTCAATTTCAAAACCAAATACCAGACACATATTTGAAGTATGAGTAGGAATCTAAATTAGTGGCAGTTGGACCTGAGTCAAACATGACATTTTTTGGGACAATATAGTAGATGAATTCCAATAATTTATGTATACAATTTCTTCTTTAGCTCACTTTCACATTATTTAACAATTCCCAAATAATATTAAACTCTGCAGCATGCTTTATGTTTCTCCAGTTCATATGTCATGCGCAATAGAGAAGCATGTTGTTCAAACTCGGGAGTGGGGTGATTATTTGATTAGTTAGTATACAACATCAACAATATAAAGATTGCAAGGTAGACAACCTGTGGAGAAGGATATATGGTAAATCCAAGTTTAGACTTCTTTCCATAGTCTACAGAAAGACGTTCCAGAAGCAGGGACCCTAAACCAGAGCCAGTACCACCTCCAGCAGCATTAAAGACCAAAAAACCTTGCAAACCAGTGCAGTTGTCAGCCAACTTTCTCACCCGGTCGAGACACACATCAATGATGTCTTTCCCCACTGCAAATATTAAACATATGAATAATGAGACTCATTTTGTCTATAGCAATAGCGGTGGAAAAGGGGTATTCTACGTGCCTGTGTAATGTCCCCTGGCAAAGTTATTAGCGGCATCCTCCTTTCCAGAAATGAGTTGCTCAGGATGAAAGAGCTGTCTGTATGTTCCAGTTCTCACTTCATCTATAACAGTTGGCTCAAGGTCAACAAACACAGCTCTGGGTACATGTTTGCCCGCACTAGTTTCACTGAAGAATGTGTTGAATGAATCATTTGCGACTCCTTCAGACGTGTCACTGCCCAGCAAAGAAAAAAATGGAGTTAGCCATTAATACATTATATCAACACCTATTGATAGTTTAATCACAAAAGACAAAACAATGCACTACCATTAAAAACCAGAAAGGGCATAGAAATAAACAGAAAAAAGGTTAACACATCAAATATGAAGTATCAAACTATCAACCATCAGACATAGATTGCAAAGCTCCTTGACACTTTTTTTCCAAATGAAGTTCAGCCTAATGCATCAAATTTAATCCAATCTCTACTATGTAACGGCAGCATCTATGACATTCACTCTTGACGCATTTTTGAACTAATGGGATCTGGCCAAGAAAAATATGCGTGATCTTCGTTACTGAAATATTACTACACAGCAATTCAAGGGTTTCCAGCTTTCTTGAGTGTTCTTACATTTCGACCAAAATTTTAGGTTGGAGCAGCCTGGTAAAATCGAAACCGACTAAATGAAACAAAAACGTTCGCTAAAACAATGAGAAATGACACTCGTTGCCGTTTTTATTGAAGAATCAAATAGATCAAAAACTCAAAACGGAGACCAAGAAAAACTGTGAAAATCCATACATAAAATCAAAATTACAAAAAAAAACGAATATACCTAGGCATCCTGCCATCGGGCTGAATGCCATGCTCGAGGCAATAGAGCTCCCAGCAGGAGTTGCCGACCTGAATCCCAGCCTGTCCGATATGCACGCTGATGATCTCCCTCATCTTCTTCACAGCACTCTATGTTTCTCCCTGTCCCTGTCCCTCTCGAGAACTGTGATGCTGAGGAAGACAAATTGGAGAGAGAAATTCGTTTCCAGCCACAGCGAGAATGGACGGAAATGATGAAGCTACGGAGCGTTGTTGGTCTTCTATGCCATGTTTAATGTGGGCCTTTACAGCTAGGTACGGCTGGAGGTTGCTGTTGGCCCGTTCTTGTCACCCGATTTCTCGCCGACCCGGACAGCTCATGGTCACTGATGATGATGTATTATTATCATTTTTAAATCATCATATCATATCCCATAATAGTAATGATAATAAAAATCATCAAATTGTGAGAAAAATGCTTTCCATAAAAGATTACCTATTAACTTGCAAAAAGAAGGTTACAAAAAATAATGAGGCTCACATAGATAAAAATAAGGTGTAAATCTTTATCGCGAAATTTTGATAAGAGACTATCCTTAAGATTTGAACTTGTGATCTCTCGATCATACAACCAACACTTCAAGAATAAAATGCTTGTTCATAACTTTCATAGATCTGATTGGCCCCATAGTTATTCTAAGAATAAAATTACAATTATAGTTGATGTAAATATGGTGTGATAAGTATAAATATTACTCTTTCTGCTTCATTTTACATGTCTTATTTTCCTTTGTAGGTTGTCCAAAAGTAAGTGTCACAATTTTTTTGGATAAAAATTTGTGATTTACAGCATTTCACTTCATTACACTCAATTCTCGACCACAATTTTTACTTTTTCAATCACTTTATTATTAATTCTGCCAAATCAAAGTACAACATATAAAATGGGATGTAGGTAGTATGAAGTTATCAACTTTGTGAATTTGCAACACCTTGTATGAGTATATTGCAACCTCTCCCCCCACCCCGCCTTTGCCACCCCCGCCTTTTACAAGGAAATTTTTAGAAATTTAGTTCAATAGTCAATGGTGGTTTGACTTGATATCAATGATATTCTCTTCTTGGGCTATCTAGATCATGAACAATTTAACTTTGCAAGAAATTTAATGATGTACTCGTATAATATTATTCTTCAACAGTTTAGATCCTTGGTCTTGATTGTTGAAGTAGCAACCACCATCCTTATCTGTAAATAAATGAAGAACATATCTCTTGTAGTGTATTAGCTTAAAATAGTGAAGAATTGCACTTTTTGTATCTTGTGTTGACTTAATAAGCAGGGGGGTGGGTTTTAGTCTCTCGACTTGACATCCACTTCGCCTATAGTCTAAATAGCTTGCATTTCGCCACATGAGAGGCCACCTATTCTTAGAATTCCTAGTAAATAATTCCTCTGTTCCTTTTTAATTGCAACAGTCTACTTTCCACGCTTGCCAACGCACAAGTTTGACCGTTAATATATTTCATTCCTTATTAGTAAAAAAATTAAAAAAATCAGATTTTGAAAATTTATTATGAGAGGAATTTAAAAATATTTTTTAAAAATTTAATTCGTAATACATTAATTAATAAAATGTAGTCAAAGTAGAATCTGTGAATAGTGAAAAAAGTCCTACGTTTGCAATTAAATCGCATAATGAAATTTACTTAATGTGATCCCTAAAAGTTGCGTATTACCTTTTACATCATACTTGAACAATGTCTCTTTTACTTATTTGGGATGTTTTCTTTTGGACTGAAATTTGCTGGTCTGGTCTGGTCTGGTCTGATCTGATCTGGTCTGATCTGGTCTGTTTAAGTCTGGTCTGGTCTGGTTTGAACTGGTCTGGTCTGGTAAACGTCTGGTCTCTGTGTATTTTATAACTATCCAAGTCTGGTCTGATCTGGTCTGTTTAAGTCTGGTCTGGTCTGGTCTGTTTAAGTCTGGTCTGGTCTGATCTGGTCTGGTCTGGGACTGAAAACAGTCCAAAAGAAAACATTCTTCGTATCAATTTGCTATCATATATGTTCAGGCAATAATAATTGTAGTGTTAGCGCACTCAAATCATTGCATTGTGTAATAATATTACTCACGCACGTTAGAAAGGGCATTTCATGAAATCACATTAGAAAGAGCTCAAAAGTGCCGACTAATGTAACATTTGTGCCACATTTGTGATCTAACATTACCTTGTTTGGTTTCCACATATAACTAGTAAATAAGAAAATGATTATCTCTATGTTATGTGGTTCCTGCCTTGTTCTACACGTTATGTCTTTTATCATTTCTATTTTATGTCCTCAAATTCTGCTTAATATTTTTTTCGCTCCTCTCATTTGGGCAGTTCTTCTTTCAATAATCCCACCTTTTGATTATTCATGAATAATCCAACCTTTGCACCTCATCTTCATTCACTGGTCCCTGACCGGTTGATGACCTGCTATTCCAAGCTATTTTCTTATCTTTGCAAATCATTATACCATAAATCTCATCTCTCACAAAGATAATAGCAGGTCCCTGACCGGTTGATGACCTGCTATTCACAAAATTTTAGTTTAAAAATCAACCGGGAAGTCAGTTAAATAAAATATTGAAACACACTGCGCTTTGTGTATATAAATAATGCGCACTATCTTTCAATAATTTATTTAACTGACTTTCAGGTTGAATTTTAATCTGAAACTTTGTGGGGATATTATAGATTTCATGAAGAATATATTTAAAACATTTCATGAAAAAATTCTATCGGGAAGGGCCTCAAATGGCCCCGGTCTGACATCATTTCCCGTTAGGCAGGCCTAATTTCAAGGTTTCATCTTTGGACTTTAATTCGTTTTGATCAGCAATCAACACTCTCCTAATTTTCTCAAAAATATCTTCCAAATTTGAAATTTCAATTTCACAAGTAATTCTCTAGTTTTATTTCTTATTTTTTAATATAATTTTTATTCGTTTAGTTTATATATTAAGACTTTGATGAAAGACTCACATTACTTTGTATGTTGAAATTTGTGTATATAAAGTTAAGCTTTTGCAATATATTTATATAACCTTTTAAGGACCTTCTTTTTTCAATCGCCCCCGGGCCCATAAAATATCAGGACCGGCCCTCCTGCTCTTAATAACTGTTCGGTTCTTATAATTTTTTTTAGAACCGATATGGAAATGAACCATTCTTAACAGTTTGGTTCTTGTCACTTAACATTTCCTAGTTTTAAAAAAAAAATCTTACAAATCACAGTTAAATTTGTGCCACAAAAACATTAAATGTTTGAAATTACAAGAAATACAAATATTTTTACCATCATTTCAAAGATCTCAAAAGTTGAGTTTAAAACATAAATATCAAACTGAAAATTTTAGTACATGAAACAATACATTCACTGAAATAAAAAATTATGATCTTGAATCAACAACGTAATTAATCAGAAAAAAGTTCACTCATCTCAAAGAGTCTCGAGCAGAGCACTCAATTCCAACCATCCGGACCTCTAATAAGAGGCCTAAGAGCCATAGAGGGATCCGTTAAAATAAATAATAATGTTAAATACTTAAATAACTAAACAGAAATAGTTAGTGTAATATAAAATTAAATAAGTAAATATACATTAAAATATATATACTAATACGAAATTTATGAAATTTCAATTATTATATACAAGGGTTCTTTAACGGTTCAAGATATATATTTTTTAGGAACAAAGAACTGGACCGTTAATAAGAAATAGGAACCGAACCATTAACAAGTAACTAATAAATGTTTGGAGTGAACCGAACCAGGTTATAATATAATGGTTCGGTCCGATTCGGTTCTCCAGTTCTTGGTTCCAAAGTCCCAACCCTAACTAGATGTAGGTAACTTGGTACCATGTTAGTTTTGACATGATCTTCATTCTCCAGCGCAGCTTAAGACGTAGATATACTTGCGCGAATACATACATATGCAATTTTTTCACATTGATAAATATGTTGAAGAATGTTTTTAGTTAGATTGAAATTTTCTACCCTTTTAATCTATTATAGTCTTATCTGATCTAGTTGTTGGAAAATCTGTTAATAAATTGCATTAAATGGTCATTTTGGGGCAATTTTTGAGTGGGGTCCACTTCGATTTGGGTCGGGTCAGAGTGGTTTCGGATTTTCCTTGCTTAGGACTACAATTCGATATATGGTACTCTCAAAATGGATAACGGGTGAATGAGAAATTGATTCTCAAAGTTCACTCGTTGAAATGGAGAAAACTAGGAAAGGGTGGGTTTCTAGTGTGGTTTTTTCCCCACACCGGAAAACCCAAGGGACTTTGAACCCTTTATAAAGGGAAACCCCCTCTAAGGAGTTAAGATTTCTTAAGGGAAAGGCTCTCTCTCGCGTGCAGGGGGTGCGAATCAAATCCCGAAACCGGAGAATAAAAAGCGCGACTTGCGTGCGCGGGGCGACCTGCGGACACGAATGTCGTCAGGATTGGAACATTTTCTGGACAAATTAATGCCAACGAGCTGGCTGAATGTAAGATACCAACGTTCATGTCCATTAAACTTCCATTAACACACAACAAATATCATTCACAAATGAACTGCACCTTCTCTTTAGCACAAAAACACTACAGCTATTCTGAAAAATTCATTCTGTGTTCTAGCTTTGTTCACGTTCGTTGGAACTTTAGTTTGAGTGCTAGACTATTGTTCGTAGTCATCATATCCTGGGAAACGATCCTTACAACGCTCCTAGCATTACTACAACATTTCAACATCTAATGTATCACTCAAAAGTGTTACAATAGCACTTAAAAGTATTACAGTACATTAGAGAAAATATAATACTTTTTTACCATTACATTTGCTAATGTTGCATTTGACCTATTGTAACACTTTAAAGTCCCTAATGTAATATTTATGCTTCTAGAAAGTGTTACATAAGGTCTAAAACGTGTTGCATTAGAGAAAAATGTAACACTTTTATAGGTATGTTACATCCTCAATGTTGCATCCCGGGGTGCGCATCCCGGGATGCAACGAATACGTTTTAAGATCTCTGATTAGTTTATTTTCTGTTTTCTTAAGAACGAATACGCTTTAAATTATTTTCTGTTTTCTTAAGTCATTTTGTTTAATTAATTTTGATTAGTTAATTTCTTTTGTTTTTTCTAAACACACCTAACACTAGTTTCTATCTGTTGAAGTCTATTTTGATTTGAACTTATTTGCTCCAGTAGATATTTATTTTGTGTCTATTTTACAATTGGTATATATGATCTGGATTGATATCTGATCTAAGTATCTAACTTGTTTAACTCTGGTATGAAATGAAATCAGTCCAATAAAAAACGTTGTGGCCAAATGCGTATCATCCTACACGTGTTCATCATAAAAAAATACACAATTTATCTTGTTGGATCTAAGAGAACATCATTATACATTCTTATTTACCTTATGACTAGTATCGTACCCGTGCGTTGCACGGTGCGTGAGTCTTGGGGTGGTTTATAACATCATCAAACATTAAATTTAATTGGTTATAAAGCCAAACATCATCCATCACGTAATGCTTTAGCAAAAGTGTAAAAGCGTGAGATTGTTGCAATGTGTTACGTGATTATCATACATTCTAAAACATTACAAATTATGGAACACTTCTTTGTAGACAACGTTCATCGTCTCATTCTTTGCACAACCATCTTCATTAAGGATGAGAATTTTAAGACCGGCACGATTGGTTACTCTTGACACAGCAACATATAGTTGCCCATGACTGAAAACTGGTTTTTTCAATAGGAGACCAACGTGACTGAGCGATTGACCTTGACTTTTATTGATGGTCATTGCATAAGAAACCATAATCGGGAATTGTCTCCTTTGAAACTTAAATGGCAGCCTAGCATCAGATGGGGTTAAGGATAGTCGAGGTATTAAAACTTTCTGGCCTGCACTCGTCCCATTAAGAACCCTCCCCTCTAAGATGTGATCACACATCCTTGTTATTATGAGCCTTGTCCCGTTACACAGTCCCAATGAGTGATCAATATTACGAAGAAGCATGACTGGAGTACCAATCTTCAAAGTTAACTTGTGGTTTGGCACTCCAGAGATTTTAATACTGTTCAAGAATTCTGGAGTGTGCAACTCTGCTATTAGATCATGGGTTAAATCCGATTTGCAAACACTGTCTGAACTAAGATATGTTCTTGCAACTTCTCTGGAATTCAAACTTGTCATATAGTCATTCACAGAATCAACAACCTCAAGAGTTGGAGCAAGAATGGCCCTGTCTCTCAAGTAATTCAAATTAGTACTTGATTTCAGATAATCAGGGTAGATGATCTCGACTATCTTTGCGATTGGATCCCCAGAATACTTGATGAGGATGTCATCAGGAATTGGAATAGAGACATAACCATCATTTGAATCACCAGCAACACCATCGCCAATGCTTGCAATCCAGTCAGCAAACAACTTCAAGTCATAAGATTCTGTAGGGCTATTGACATTTTGGAGCCTCATGTTCTTCGTTAACCTAAGAACAGTGCATTCCCCCCATAGATAAGATGAATTAATTGTAGCATTAACGACATCTTGTCTGCTACCTTGCGGAATAACAGGCAACACTTGTCGAAAGTCTCCTCCCAACACAATAGTCTTACCACCGAATGGTAAATTTAAACTATTTGGGTTGGTGAATCTCAGAATGTCACGCATACTTCTATCCAACGCCTCAAAACAGTATTTGTGCAACATCGGAGCTTCGTCCCAAATGATCAATTTACACTTTGCAATTAGCATTGCGAGGGGACTACCTTGCTTTATATTGCAAGTTGAATCTTCATTCAAACTAATTGGAATTGCAAACCACGAGTGCGCAGTTCTACCTCCGGGTAGCAGCAAGGATGCAATGCCACTTGATGCCACATTTAATACTATGTCCCCCTTAGATCTCAATGCAGCCGATAGAGTTCTCCATACAAAAGTCTTCCCAGTTCCACCATATCCATAAACAAAATACATCCCACCACATTCCGTTTCAACAGAGTTTATGATCTTTTCGTAAACAATGCGTTGTTCACTGGTCAGACCTTGAAGCAATGTATTGTGTTCCTCATGCATCGCTTGACGATCATATTGAAGCTCTTCTTGAACCAACCTATTTTCGGGGAGCAAAGTTGAGCTTGACGTTGGACATGGCATTGGAGGATAGTCACGTAAACTCTTCCCTCGTCGGTGCAACAACATTTCTATCTCTGCTAATGCTGCCATATGCAATTGCTCATTGTCCATTACAAATCCTATATTACATTAAATGTCATATCAGTTACTAATTAAATTAATGCACAAAATAGAATCAGCACAAAACAATTGTTTGAGATGTCAACGAATAAGACAAAAAATGAGCTTGCAAAATACCTGGATGTTGATACATTTTGCGCAGTTTGTACTGAATATCTTCAGCCATATATATCCAACATTTCTCCCAAACAAATTCTGGTCGACTCATGGATTCCGACCACAACAATATCACAAAAAGTATCCTCAATGCAAACGCTGTCGCAAAATCACTTGCCTCAGTAAAACCATCTACAAACTCTTTGTCATCGTCTAGAAGGCCCAAAGCGTAGCAAGTTTCACGATATGAATTATATAATACACCATTTATAGTCCTCAAATCTTCATGGCATGTAACACCGCGAATATGGTTCAATAAGCATCTCATATAGTAGGACTCCCCACATCCCGGAGGAACATAGTATATTCGTCCAATGGCAAATGCTTTCTTTCTTGGCATCCATTCCCTTAATTTACTTTTCCATACAAATTTTTGAGGGAACTCAGCGTAGGTCATTTGTCTGGCCACTTCGTATTTTTTATTAGCCTCCATCCAACCCAAAAACATGCTATCTTTAACACTCCTTCCTTCAACAACAGAATTAAGAGGGTCGTTGTCCGAAAAAACAATTGTTTGCTCTCCTTTCAAGTGAAAGCTAAGACGTTCAACTGGTGGAGTTTTATATTGAATCTCAAATCCAAGGATACGCCATGCAGCCTCACACGGAGATATGTAGCGACAGTCATAATACATTTTGATTTCATCAACGGGTTTACTATCTTCTGGTGACACTGCAGTATTAAAGAAACTCGCAGTAACTCGATCACGTCCTTTATTGATGTACTTAAACAAATATTTGATGGATCTGGATTGGTTGCACCACTCAACATTCATATGGCCACCATATTTCATCAAGAGAAAGCGATTGTGGGGAACAACATATCTATTGTCAAGGGGAACTTTGTTTTTCTCAATTCTTCTACCATCATCCCTTCTCCTATAGACCGGATATCCATCACCGTCAATATATGTTGCCTCGCACCAACCTTTAGGGAAATGCTTTGTACACTTCCCATTTGCCATACATGGAGCAGACTTAACATATGGACCACACGGTCCATGCATCATAAAATCACGAACTGCATTGTAATATCGCGGATCCCTGTCTTTATCTGGAATTTCAGCTGAGATAACCCTATCAATGTCAGTTGCAGTTGGCAATTTATCTTCATTTGCTAGCCACAATAGTATATGTGCATGAGGTAATCCTCGCTTCTGAAACTCCACGGTGTAAACCACTGTAAAATGCAATTTAAAAAATTTGTACATTACCTAAGAGTCAATCAAAACGTATTTTTATGAAAAGATTGAAGACATACCTGCTTTAACATTGCCAAACACTTTATTACGTCGTAGGTCTTTAATAAGACCATCAAGCTTTATCTTAAAAACTCGACATACAATATCAGGACGATCTTCACACTTAAGATTCCTATCACGTAAAAAACGAACAATTTCGGGCCACTTTGGATTGCACGTTAGCGTGATAAACAAATCCGGATACCCTCCCCATCTACATATTGCCATCGCGTCTTGGTAGTTCTGTATCATGTACCTTGCACCACCAGTGAAGGTAGGAGGCAACACAATTCTCCTACCTTGAGTTGTAGGATCATTCTCTCCACGCAAAACAGCATCATTTAAACCTTTGTACATTTCACAACGAAGTTGTTTTTGATGTGTTCTAACAAACTTCAATCTTGCAGACTCAATCAAAGTATAACCATCAACAACAAATTGTTGAAATAGCCTTTTGGCCTTTAAAATTGTCGAATATCTATATTCCCTCTCTTGCAACCGATAGGCCAAGAACTCTCGTATACTGACATTGCGCCTGCCTGACCCAACAACGACCTTAGAACCCGAAAGCGCAATGTCTTCTCGGTAACCGTCCTCACCAAATGGAAACAATAAAGGATACTGCAAGCCAAAGTATGCTGGATTAAGTTCATTAATACGTTGCAACTTTCCAGTTTGGGTCTCCACTAAGATATCTCTATCCCCCATAGACTCATCAAAATCCCCCACAACTAACGCAGCAACCTCTGACACAGTCGGGAGGTTATATGTTCTTGCGTCGTTGTTTCGCTTACCAATTAACCTCAACCTCACGTCACAACTCTCACCTCGATGAATCATTTCTCGAGCCATTCTAAAAGACTTCACCAACACATTGTGCTCATTCAACATGTTAGATAAGTCCTCCACAATCTCAACATGTAATGGATTTGCATCACCATCTCCCCTGCACATATAAAAACAATATGCATTGACAATTCCCGTCATGTTTTATCAAAAGAAGTAGCATATGCAATTAAATTGCACACCAAAGTTACCTTACAGATCTGATCCTGTTATGCATCTCATTTTCAGTGTCGTAGATGTATAACTGTGCGAATTTTGGAGCTGATCCAGCCGTTGGCAACAAACTTCCCATAAGATGATAGTTTTGGCCATGAAGTTTAAAAACAGGAGGAGATCCGCCTTTATTAATTGTCGACTCAACTCGACCACCCATAGATGTGAATGCAAACATGCTATTGTAAGATCTAATATTTTCTAGAAAGTGCTTGCTTCTGGCATCTGTTCCATCTATCAACCTTTGTAACAACAACGGCGGTTCTTTGGTGATCGGGAGTTGGACCTTATTCTGTGAACAACAAAGGGAGTACTTTGGGTTTGCTTTTGTAGAGCTCGATTCATTTCTCTCTTCATACCAAAACAGAGCCTCACAAAAAGGGCATACACAATTTGGGTCACCGATATCCCATAACCCTGCAATACAATTACGTTTATCCGCATAAATAAAGACAATCTAATTTAAACGATTTAAAATATAATATAAAATTTAAAGCTTTATAGGTTGTTTCAGAGGTTAAAACGTAGATTGTGAATTGCAACACATAAACTTCTATTTTATAGAGAACCAACCGATAGACGATTCAGCAAGCATAGTATTTAGATCTTCATAATCCACATACGAATCATCTACATCCACGTCATCAATATCTACATCTTGCATGAAATAGCTAGTTGAAGCAACATTGTTGTCCACCATACCATGCGGGTGGTAAAATGAAACTGATGAAGATTGGTGATTGTGTAACATATTTTGAGTTAATAGTGGACTTGTTGTACGTCCTTGTTTAAAACCCACACCCGACATTGTTGATCGAGAACTTGGCTCAAAGCCTACATTTGTACAACACAACAGTTGTTAACGAAAAATTTAAAAAAACATTTAGTTGAATAATATTATGCAAAAACGGTTAGCACAAGAACTTTTTGGCATACTTACCATTAGTGACATCCACCAAAGGAGAAACCGCCACACCGATTTGCTTTATAGTACCAGTAACATTGGACCTAAGAGACTCTTCAAATCGAGCATTTTGCAGAATTCTGCGGTTTACATTACACGTGTTGTCACCATCACCTGTAAAAAACATGGTTTACATATATGTCGGAAAAAATAAAGGTATCGAATTGCTTCAAGCATCACACACCCAAGTTTTTTAAAAACTTTGGGTAGAAATAAGAATGTTTCGATAACTAACACCATTGGTATATTTCAACCGTTCAATGCAAGGATGAAAATTCCGTGATCCAGGAAAAAGAAAAAATCAATTAATTTTGGAGTTGGTTTTGAAAACTATTCAAAAAGAAGCTTTTTTGGTAATTTGTGAGAATAGATGAGCAAATTATTCATTTATGAGCAATTTATTGTGTCCGTTCCTTCTTTTTTGTTACTTTAAAAGCCTTTCTTTATTTAGTTGTGGACTGTACTCCGTATTTATCTAGTTGTGAACTAAGCCGTTCTTTATTTAGAGCCCGTTTGGTAGCATGAAAATCGGCTGTTTTGGCTGTTTCTGCTGAAATTTATGAAGTTCTGGCTGAAGTGGCTGTTTTGGCTGATTCTGCTGATTCTAGAAAAAATATTTTAAAAAAATATTTTTTAATAAAATAAAGAAAAAATTACATGTAAAAATAGCTAAAATGATCATCTATAGTAATTTCAGCCAATACAGCCAGAAAAGTAACTCCAACCTTACTTTTTCTGCTTATTACACAATTCAGCACGCGAAAGTAAAAATTACGTGTTTGGTGAAAAAGCTGACTGATAAGCCTGATAAGCCGAAAAAAGGGGTCTCCAAACGGGCTCTTAACTTTTTTTAAGGAGTTTGATTTTTTCTTTCAAATAAAAAGGAGCTGGATTTTTTTATTACTTCTTATATACTCCGATTGAATAATAAATACGTATATTACCTAAAAACGTAACTTTTCAGATTTAGTTTTTGATGGTAGGAACAATTTGTAGTTTAAAATCCTAAATGGTATTATTAATATTATCAATATTATATTTATAATTATATATAAATTGCATATGCTAATGGCATACGGTACCGTAGCAGTTGGCACAACGTACCGTGTACCGAAACAGCGTATTGAAGAAGCCTACCCCTCCGAGTATCGGATTTTAAAAATTAGCGATCCGCGATCCGTTTTCGTTTCGCGTTCCGGAGCGTACCGCGATCCGTGTGATTATGGTATGGATAATCGTTCTAAATCGAAACAGCACAACTGATACAGAGGAGATGTATCTTTTTTCTAAGATATATAATAAGAACCGTTAACTTAAATATAAACTAAAATATTAATTGATGATTTATTTTTAATATACAACCAATTTATTTTACAACATAGTATGTTTTTACTTAAGACAATAATCTGTCCAGATCAGACCAGACCAAACTTGGATGGTCAGAAAAGACAGTAATCTGTCCAGGGGTAATTACCGTTATACACGAAAATGTGATTGGATATAAAGTTAAATATCACACATTGTACATATGGTGGACTCGATCTTAGTTTTGATCCCGAATCGGCCTCTCCAGGCCAGTGTTGAGGGAATAAATAATATGGTGGACTCGATCTTAGTTCGGATCTTTTTTTATAATACAAATTATTCGAATAAATAATAAAAATAACATGAACAGTCTTTCGGTCTAAACTTTTAAAATGATAGGTTACAATCAATTACTTCGTAAAAAAAAATCAATTACGTCGTATAATATCTTAAAATAGGCCACCTATTTGTGAATCTGTTAATTCTCTCTCGTGGTTAAGACATTATGAAAAGTTAATGTCTCTAACTATAACTCTAAATCTGGGAGTAATTTTTATTTTATACAATTAAAAGTAATTCAATTCTGATTGTTTTGGGCACATCTTAATCATACGAAGTATACTACATCTAAGAGCCTTCCAATTAAACGGGCCTAGAATGAGCTCTCCATTATATGTGAGTATGTGAAGCCCAAGAAAGAAAGCCTATTAAAACTTGAAGCCTTTTCCAGAACAACCCTTCACAGTTTCACTCCTTTCCAAAAAGGCCAATCGGCCAGCCTTTCTCAAACCATCCACAGCAACATTCCACTCGAACAACCCTTCATTTTCTTCTCAGTAAATCCAATCGGCCAGCCCCTCCTCAACCGAGCACACCAACACTCCACCACGAACACAACCTCAGCCGACGGCTGGTTAATTCACGCAACCCTTCCGCCCTGATTGTTCACCAAGGTATACGACCGCCGTCATGAATCGATCGATTGCAAGCATCCTCCGCCACTCCCGCCTCCTCTGCCGCTCGCTCTAAGTTTTTTAAAGACGGTAAGAAGACGCTTCCTCTACTATACACGACCATCTCAGTGATTAAACCTTTTCTTAAAACCACCCAATCGGAGTACAAATATCCAGTATCCACATTCACTGCTTACAGATCTAGCAGATCTGTTTTATTACTACCATATTACCCCTAAGTTTTATTTTTATTTTTTTAATAAAAATGATATTCGATTATACATGCAATGATTTCATATGCTAAATACATACTCCGTAATATATTTTAAAAAATAATATCTGAAAGTTTAATATGACACAAACACGGATTAAATTTCTATAATAGATCTACGTAGATGCATTTAACCCAAAAGTATTGACTTCAATTTCACAATTTAAAAAAGTATATGAATGTCAAATGACAACCAAGTAATTGTTTTAATCCATTTCCAGTATTTTATTATTCAATAATGTTACATGTGATGTATGTTTGAACTTTATGTTTTTGTTTTTATTTTTTTGTAAAAAACACACACTGAAGGTACTGCTGAAATATAAAGGATCTATTATGTATGCATTCTCTCGAATTTGAAGTTGTTTTTATATCCCAAATTTTAGCTTTTAAAAAGCAGACATTAATTGTGTGTTATTTTAAATGATTTCAAAACAATTTATATAAAAAAAATTGGATACTTCTGAAATTTTATAAACTTACACTTGTCTCCACATATGTATCACGTGGCGTCGGAAGTGTGCGACGAAGTAACCCTGTTTGTGTGGAGAGGGCCTGAGCATCATTTGTAAATTATCTGGCATCTGTGAAGTATGAGTAACCCTGTTTGTCTGTGTTGTAGGCTTTTTCGCTCCAGAGTCCGGATTTTGCTAGGAAGTGTGCGACGAAGTTGGCTTCTCTTTGCCGGTGAAAGAATGTGAATCTATGGGTGCGCCTGAGGTTGTCGGTTTTCTTTGGCTATTCACATTATTCAAAAATATTCTTATAATTGATTCATTAACGTAAAATTAATCGATTCATTTACCTAAAATCGATTCACCGGAGGTAATAATCGATTCATTTACCTAAAATTAACCTAGCATGTAACTGAAATTGCTTGCTTTTTTTTTTTTCATTGATATATTCATTCACTATAATTGGAATGTAGGCTGAAGCTCATTGAAAAGCATCTTTCTGTTGAAGCTTTAATGAAACATCATCAAGCGATTTTCCTAATTGGACTCACTTTCCCTGTAAATGCGAAACAGAGATATATATAATGCTTAGATCTAGAATTCTGCAAATACTTAGTCGTTGTTCTAAGCAAAGCCGAGTATTTCTCTTTTATCGCCAAAGTAGGGGCATTTCTGCTCTTCCCAACTATACCCAGCTAGATGATCTTCAAGAGCAGGTCCTCTCTATACGATATGCATTACAATTTAAATGCACCATATACATTTAAATTTTGACATAGTGACATGGGCGCACATTTAAATGCACCTATACAGGAAAAGCTAAGTTATGTGAATATGTGTGTATTAATTAATCTCTAATGTGTGTATTAATTATTCCTAATTGGACTCACTTTCCCTGTAAATGCGATTTTCAGGTCTGCAGATCAAACAAATCAATATTAAGCTATCATTTTGACGGTCAAAAGCCAAATCTGGATCACCTAAGGCAGCGTGATCTGAAAGGTAAATATTGTTATTTGATTTTTTATTTGAAACATTTCATAGTGTATTTTCTTAATTTTAACTCTGTCACTCTAATGGACATATATCCATTAAATAGATGACTGTGTAGATGTATTTCCTCAAATAAGAAAAACGATGCAAAGGCTTTCTCCTTGAGTAAATATTAAACTGATATTGAAAAGATACAATCGACAACAATGATCCAATTAGGGTTTTATATATAAGGGTGATGTACATCTGTCCCTTAAAAATATGGTAAAGATTTGTTTTTTCAAAGCATAAGGCTCCACTGTCTAAGGGCGATGTACAACTGTAAGTCAAAAATATGGCAGAGATATGTTTTTAAAAGCACAAGTCTTTTCATTATTCTATATTCTTTTACATTCAGGACAGACCAATTGTTGTTAGTCCCCATGTACATAGCTGTTTACATCATATTCTACCAAACATCATGCACACAAACTCTCTATCTATGTATATTTTATATTGGGTTGGTCAGTTGCTGCTACAGTCATCCTTTTTTTTGGCAGGTTCATATTAAATTGATATTGAAAAATACAAATGACAACAATGATCTAATTAGGGTTTTGTATATAAGGGTGATTTACACCTGTCACTTTAAAATATGGTAGGGATATGTTTTTCAAAGCATAAGGCTGCATTGTCTTGTTACTTGAGTAAATGTTAAACTGATTTTGAAAAACTTACAATTCACAATTCCCCCAACAATGATCTTATCAGGGTTTTGCATATAAGGGTGATGTACCTCTGTAAGTTAAAAATATGGAAGAGAAATGTTTTTAAGAGCATAAGAGTCTTTTTCATTATTCTATGTTCTTTTATA